AATCTCTGTATTTCCTCTATGACAAATGGGATTTGCAGATCATTGTGAATAGTAAAGTTGGAGACATATGAAGGTGCTTTAGTTACTGAGCGCAAGAATTTGGATTGAAATCTTTGAATTATTTTTGTGTTTGATGGTTTTGTACAGTCCCATAGTTGTATACCATATATCCATATGGGTTTTATTATGCACTTATATAAGTAGAAGTTTGTTTTCTATGGATTGCTTGGATTTACGGCCCAAACGCCAGGACATTTCTCGTAGTTTTAAATTTAATTTCTAACGCTTTGTTTTGACGTGTTTCTGCCATGTCAGTTTTTGGTCGAGGTATAATCCTAAGTATTTTATTTCGGTTTGAACCGGTATTTGCCTATTACTGATGGTAACCTGCAGGAAAGTTATGCTTTTCGTGGGGAATGTAACTTTCATTGATTTTGTCTCCTTTATTTTGATTTTCCATTAAGATAGGAAATGCATCATAATTATTCACAATGAATTTCAGAAATTTCAAATTACGCAGCCCAGGATATGAAATACTTCAGAGTATATGACGCATGCGCTCGCAAGTACATGTGCTGTTGTCTCACAGGGCCCATACCGCGCATTTCCGAAGGACGCATCGACTGACAGCAGAACACAGTATTCTCTTCTTCGTCATTCGACCGATGACCATTAAAAGCCATAAAAGGGGCAGAGGACAGCGAAAGTAACGCTGAACACGAACAATTTAGTCATTACAATAAAAAACAGACGCTAAATGTAAAACGGAAGTTCTTCCAAAGCTGATACAAAATGTTCAAAAAAAATACTCCGTGGCTTGAGTCCGAAAGAGAACTATACCGACCGAGCGACCGTCGCTTGTCGACGAAGTTAGTGCCAACTTAAGCAGGTAGAGGGTGTTACGTGGTCAGCGCAAAGAATACCCACGGCAGTTAATTTCGGGTTTTCTAGACCGGTATAAAATATTACACAAATATAAAGTAAGCCTCTAACATATTAGGAGAGGGGCTCTCGCGGCGGTAATTGTGAAAAATACCAAACTGTGGGATGTGACGCCATGTAGTCTGGTAGTTTACTGTTCTTTCAGAAGAACGTATTGCCTGACACTGAAGGATCAATGCTCAATTAACGACTAGAAGTCTGTTTCCTACTTGCTTTACCCTCTTACTCTTGCATTCTGAATATGGAACCATTATGTTCCTCCGAAACACAGGTAAATTTCTAACAGATTGTACGGTGCCATATCGCAGAATATAAGTTTTCTTCAGGCACATAACAATTTACGGACAGGCAGCTGTTCGCGTACCGCTAGTTGAGAACATTTCTGATCGTGTTTGTTTAAAATGGATTGCGAGCACGTGAATAACACGTGGTGTGCTTCGGCTTCGGGTAAATTTCTGCTCACTTGCGTCAACGCAGTGATTCTTGGTTCTGGTTCCCGCGGGGCTCGCGACTTCGGATTCGAGCCAATATCCCTACACTGTGTGGGATTTATGGAAAGTGAATGTATGGACTTAGTTCACTAGGTTTTATTATAGCTTAATATGACTGAAGACTGGAATTTCCGAATAACTTCTGGAAGAAATCTTCCATATCAAATCTAAAAAACTAGACTTTTCTTCTAAACGCTTGGTTGGATACACGGACCTGCCCATTTGTGACTTTATGTAAACAAGGCTTCAGCGATCTCAGCACTGACACTACATCCCAGACAGATGGACACACGTGGCTTCTGCCAAACATATTCTTTTTTTGCTTTGTAAAAAATGCCCAATGCAAAAATATTTTACGGGTTCTGACGGTGAAATGCAATAGTCCTACGTCCAATCCCATGCTTGTAATTCTCTGTCTCGCATAACAAAATAATATCCTTCATGAAACACAATATTGAGCTTACGTAACGAATTACGTAACGTGTCTACAAACAGGAATTATTTCCTCGTGAGTGTCTTAAGGGCATTTCTTCAGCATGGAGACTGCACAGGGTCGGGTGCTGAGAGTAGAGATGAACTGCAAAGCGATCACGAGGAAGCGACTGTGCCCTGATCGAGACAATATTCTGGAATTTTCTTGGAGATCCCGGGGAAGGCCACGAGGAACTTCAGTCACGATGGCTGTGATCTAGCCGAGATTATAACCCAACACTTCCAGAAATAAACCCATGGAGCGTTAGATTTGGATCACAGTGTTCGGTTATGAATCAAAGAATCAAGTTAATTATTTCAGTAAATACAAATATCCTCAGGTCTGTTTTAAATAATAACACAGCGCGTAATCTGTCCGTAGCTTTATCCTGTTTGCTACACTCCATGCCAGATCCTAGAAAAGAAGTAAAACCTTTGAAATTCAAGTGCAGGCCCAATCTCATGTGTTCAGAAAACGCTACATAGCTTGTGACCTAATTTCCAGCTTTCATTTAACGAGATCGAAGGACTGAGGAACTGAAAGACTCATGATTACCTACAAACGGCAAAGAACAACCATTAGGTAGGCATAACCACTATTAGCAATATTTGCCATTACCTGTGCTTGCAATATACCTGTTATATTACCGGAAGTTTCCAGGGAAAACTCTTCTTAATTTGCGCCCAACAAAATTAGCTCATAATTCATCTCGACATTTCAAACGCAAACGACTTCATTAACGCGCGATTTCATTAAATTGAATTCTGAGTAAAGTAGAAGCAGTACAACGCATGCAGTAACAGGAGTAATACACAACACAGAACACGATACACAAATGTATGTAGGAAGAATGCTCACATAAAAGAGCATTGGCGTAATTCGCGTGTTTGAGTGCGACGTAGGAAGAATCCTGAAAAGTTTTATTATTTAGAGTTCATCGTCCTATAAGACGAATACAGATTTTAGTCATTTTAGAATGAAGACATTATGGCATGCAGTACAATAGTTTAACGTGCATAAAGACACCTGAAAATGGCACATTAGTGCTGAAACATGTAGTGTGGAAGTGAAGAATAAGGTGAAAAAGTGTATACACTGTAAGACGGTCAGCATAAACCATGGACAAAAGTAGGAGTCGCTTATTTGTGACGTCAACACGCTGTCTTCTGTCTATGGCTCTACAGCCCTTGTGGACCTTGGCCGCTTTTCCAGTTTTTTAATCTATACAGAGTCGGTAGGACTCCTTGGACGGGGCATCAGCCCCTTCGCAAGGCCGCTGCCTACACACAGAATAAACTTGCACAGACTTTCATTCATTCCTCGAGTGATGGGATTCGAGCCCACGTTCCCAGTGTTTGAACAGGCGAAGACGGTTCATGCCTTAGACCCCGCGGCCACTGTGATCGGCACGTCAACAGGCTACACGCTGAAATACCGTAACATTTAGTTTCGATCCGTTTGGAGAAAGCAGCGGATGTAATACATTTACATATTTTGCTTAATGACAACGTTGACATGTCTGGCTTTAGCTCGGTCCAGAGGTTATTTCAGCTGGGATTGCTTAGTCGGTATAGCGAACAGGCTACAGGCTGAAATGTCAAAGAATAGACGCTCGATTCCCGGCGTCGTCTTCCCTACAGCTTCCAGGCTGGCTCGAGGGACCATTCAGCCTCCTATCTAGTGGGTACTCAGTGGTAAAGCAGCCAGGGCATAAAGCGGGTCTAGCGCCGTGGTTGAAATTGCATAGAACTATATGTCCACGCCTCACACTTCTTCGTGGCATCACGCTTCATGAATCATAGAACCACTAGACTTGCTTATTTTTTAACTGGTTCCACAACCCCATTGGGTCTTGGCCTCTGATTTTCAGTTTCATGATCATTTTTACAGATGGTAGGACTCCTTGGACGAGTATCAGCCCGTCGCAAGACCTCTACCTAAACACAGGACAACACAAACACAGAACAAACACACATACCCAACATCCATGCCTTGCGTGGGATTCGAACCCACGATCCCGGCTTCCGAGGGAGCGAAGACAGTACCTGCCTTAGACCGCTCGGCTACCGTGACCGGCCGAATTACTTTTACTAATAAGAAATAGTAAAACCGTTTACAAAAAAAAAGATTAAAATATAAAGTAGTTTCAGTTCAGTGCGACGATAGAGGGTGAATGGAATTCTCGTAGTTTCTTCAAGTGCCTCAGAAAATTATTTACCTCATATCAATTTTATTAAAAAATAAAAAGAAGAATAAATTGAAATTTTTAAAACAAATTTTTCAGTATTAGAGTTTATGATTGGATTTTGAGTCTAAGAAGCAGAGCCCCAAGCTCTGAAAAAATATGTAAATGCATATATTTTACGCTCTTCAACAGAACAGTACCGAAGCACTAAGTCCTGCAGAAGGGACAACCAATCCAGTTGAACACCGTGCTGAAATATTCATCCGGCCATGAATAGAACTCCACTTTGCTTGCGGAAGACATTCATCGTTAACATATGAGACTCAACACGCAAATGCTGCTGTAATAAGTTGTGTTCCTAATTATCTCGTTTCTTTTTGTAAGCGAATTCCTCAAGCAATGACACGTTCACCAAAGTTTCAAATTGCCGAGAACAGAGGAGTTCACATTTCTGTATGCCCGAGGTCATTAACTGACACGTATGTCGAACTTCGTGAATCCATATTATTATTACTGCTAAAAAAAACGTGGCTTTTAGTTCGCAAGCGAAATATACCAACCGAGCGACCGCCGCTTGTCGGCGAAGTTAGTGCCAACTTTAGCGGATAGAGGGTGTCACGTTGTCAGCGCAATGAATCACCACGGCCGTTAATTTCGGTTTTCTAGACCGAAGCTGCTATTTCCTTGAAATAGCTCAGCAATTATCTTCATGAGGCTGAGTGGACCCCGTTCCGAACCCACTATACCTCAGAAAATTTGGTAGCGGCGGGAATCGAACCCGGGACCTCTGCATCTGTAGCCCGTAACTCTGACAACTAGACCACAGAGGCGGTCTTATTATTACTGCTACGAACAAAATAAGTAACCAACTATGTGAGTAACTAATTTCAAGCTCTGTCAACTTTTTCAGGAACGGACGGTGTGGGAAACAACTGTACTTGGAGCAATGGCAACCAACAGTTCGGACCTGGATGAACTGAAGAAAAACGTGGACCATGTATTTATTATGACAAATGCGATCATCGTGTGCTGTAAGTCCCATTAAAGCACTTATTATAGTTCGGAGACGTAAGGGCAGTACAAAAGTGTGTGTGTGTGTGTGTGTGTGTGTGTGGGTCAATGCATTTATTTCTTGTAATATATTTTTTCCTAGTTATATTTTTCAGAATTACTGTTTTGATGATGTGATTAAGAATCGAATCGGCTCCATTCTCATGTCCTCAAAACAATCCATAGATGGTCCTTATCGCTCAAAAAATGAGAACTCCGATTTAAACGATCTCACAGATCTGTTAAAAAGGCTGTCTGACAAAATGTTAACGCTCTCATGAATTTTTCCTTGTCCTCTCATAGGAAAGTACCCCTTAGATGGCCATTCAGACCCCACAAACAAGAGTTTATCTGCATTAACAGACGAACCTACCGAAAGCTAGATAATTCGATTCTAAATACTTTTTATTGCTAGTGGTGTGGGACTAAGTCCCTTGTACTGCGGCAACTTCTGGCCTATTGTACCAGCCCCAGAGATAGGTGAGGGTGATTGTGGAGCAATTGGTGGAATGAAGATTGGCAGGGGAAACCGAAGTACTCGGAGAAAACGTGCCCCAGCGCCACTTTGTCCACCACAAATCCCACTTGACCAGACCCGTGATCGAACCCGGGCAGCCGCGATGGGAAGCCAGCGACTAACCGCTTGAGCTATGGCGCGGCCAACGATTCTAAATAAAGAGTGTGGGTGACTCAACTGATCCCACCTAAACAAAATCATAACAACAGAAATAGCATTAGTACCGAAACATGAAATGCAAGATTTGACGCGGAAATACATGGGGATACAAATGGATTAAACATTAAATTTAAAATAGTAACCAAGAAACATGTGTATTCCAGTTCTACAATTATGTATGATACATTCGAATTCATTAATCCATTGCCATTCTAAAGCCACAGCATGATTCTACTGTCTTATCTTCGTTTCTTCCCTTGACCTGACAAATGAAACCCACGTCAGCTCATCAGCTTGTAGAGGGCCACGGGAAATATCTCGCAGTTAACAATAGGTTAGTTTCCCTTCATAACTGATAAAGTGATAATGTGATAATTTATTCTGACGTTCATCGACTCTGCTCAAAGCACAAACAATACACGACTTAACAGAACGAAACATGCGCATTCTCAAATTATAAAACAGGATACGTTGGCACTGAGCAAAATCTATCAAGAAAAATATTATGACGGTAAAACTTCAAACTCTCACTCTGCAGAACATGCATCACGAGAAATGCCCAACAAGACATCCGAGAGCTTATTTATGCATAATCTTACCCACAAACTTCGGCCAATATAGATATTTTTATAGTCCCATTTTATTTGCAATCTGTACTAGTACATTCAGCAAACTGTAATGGTGTATGTAAGATTTGAGGCTTTCACGGCGGTGACTATGAAGAAAGCAGTCTTCTGGGATTAGGTCTGCTTTTACCGGTTCTCACGGTCTCTTCGCTTGCAGATTTCTTATATTTTTTCTTCCGTCTGCTTTTACCGGTTCTCACGGTCTCTTCGCTTGCAGATTTCTTATGTTTTTTCTTCTACCCTGAAGATGGAGGCGATACGTTCCTCCGAAACGTCGCTTAACACCACATATACACGGTGCCAAATCCCAGAAGACTGCTTTCTTCTGTAATGGTGTACTTTGACTTGAAGAGGAGAGCTCATTTGCACTCTTCTTTAGTGAGTAGGCGTGAAGCCTCGTGTGGATCTTGGGGGAGTGCTTACTATCTAGATCTTTAAACTAGAATTACTAGGATGCTATTACAATAGAAATCTAGTGGGCAGATCATTTGGCAGATGTCTTCGCAGTCGCCTGAAGTCCGGTGGCTCCGTAAGGCGGGCGGCTGGGTTGTTTGGGTGTGCTTTGAGTCGCGTATTGTATAGGGAGCTGTATCGGAGAAGTTTTTCTCTAACTGTTGGTATTTGGAAATCTGTTCGGATGATTATGTTCGGTACGTACCAAGGTGCGTCCACTATCATACGCAAGACATTAGCTTGAAATCGTTCTAGAATTGCTGTTTGAGTTGGAAGCTGTACCCCAAAGTTGTAATCCATAGGTCCAGATTGGATTGAGGATTGTTTTGAATATAAGAAGTAATATAGAATGAAACCGTTTTCATTACGGATGAAAAATGAGTAAAAAATCTGACATCTAGTAAATCAACAGGAGTCGCAATAGAAAGGATAACCAAGAACTGACTCATCCGTAAAGCAACTCTGAACAAAGTCAGTCAGAGCAGAAGACAGAAGCCAGGAGACGACAGTAGGAGACAGTCCAGAGTATAATGCAGTCGCTTTTCGAGTCAGTCGTTGATGAGACCGGAATCGATCAGTTTAGAATTGAGCTCAAAATGTATTGTGAGTTACTATAAACTGGTCCCACCGCGGCGGCCCGGGTTCGATCCCAAGTCTTCATCATTTCGTTTATTAGAAAGATGCGAGCATCACTTCCCATCAGACACAACACTACCCGGAACAGCACTGGACATTCCATTTGTTACAGCCTAACAATTACTACTGTAAAGAGACCGTATCTTAAACGAATTCTGGATAATCAAAGACGCGTTTTCAATTGACGTTTGTTCAGAGAACGAAGAAGTTTTGAGATTATGTGCAGCAATTGGTGTATATTATAATATACACCAATTGCTGCACATAATCTCAAAAGCACGCTCAGTCTCATTATAAACATTTGTTTCTATACTTTTTAATAATTATTAAAAAGTATAGAAACAAATGTTTATAATGAGACTGATATCGTTAAATCAATATATATACTCCACAATCCCGTTCTCCAATAAGAATCTCAATGTAAAGGTAAAGTTATCCTTGTAACAGGCCGTGGAGGCCCATAGAGCTGTGAGACGTCGATGCTCCCATATTTTCTAGAAAATCGGCACACAGATGACGGTGAGGTTGTCAGCCTTACGCGGCGGCCGCCCTTTACGCACGAAGATTCCTGGTTCTCATTTCTGTTAGAGGTTGAGTCGACCCCAGGGCCATAATGCGGCTGGAAGGATTAGGTAAATTGAAAAATTCACCTCATCGGGATTCGATCCCGCGACCTTCCGGCTTGTAGCATAGTGCCTCAACCAACTACGCTATAGCGTGCCCCTCCCTTAATGTCAGAGACCAATTTTCACACCCATACAGAACCACAGGCAAAATTATAATTTAGTATATTGTTATAAAGTTCTAAGGACAGAAATTAGCTTTCTTAAGTAACTGAGATTCAGTCAGTAAATTGTACTTCATGTTCTTTAGTAATAATGTGTAAATAAATGTAGGCCTATTACAAAGCAGCGTCATGAACTACATGTGTACATGTACACATAATTAAATAGTCGTGAAGGACATCTACATTTTTATGCGAGGGATTCTTTGCATTCCATATCTCCTCTCTTTTAAACACCGAACTGACAAAATTGCTCCTCCATTTAAAGCATAACAAGCGAAGAACAAGCAAGATGAAAACCAACACTCCTCGTTAATAGGCACTTCGCATGGAATAGCATTTCTGGTATGAATAGTAGGACTGAAAGAAAGTTGGTTAATGACGTCACCACGCCAAGCACAATGCTACATGCGAAGAGCCAAGAGAGGTCCGCTTAATGTGCACGAGTCCTTAGTGTGTGAAGGGTTAGTTTTGGGGGCAGCATCCATGACATCAATACAGTGTTTGATGAAAATCTGTCATTTGCTTGAACCTTCATCAGAGAAGCATGGAGACTCAGATATGGCAATGCTGGAAGTGTGAGTCACACCTTTGGGTTACTTAACCAGGTACAGAACCGGTTCCTTAAACACGTGTGCAATAAGCTTCGCTTTACATATAATTGCAGCTATCCTCTAGTTCAGTCCACGGAGCAGATATTCAAGAAATCACCTACTTTTTATGAGCCCAGAAAGTTCACTGATAATTTCACTGTATTCTGCCACTGGACCTTATCCTGAGCATGTTCTATCCAGTCCACATTTCACACATAACTTTTTCAGTAACCATTTTGATATTACCTTCTCATGTTCTATGCGCTTCTCCATTTCACATACATGCTACAAGACCCGCCCAGCTCATTATCTTTCAGTTTCATCGCCCTAACAATATTCGATGAAAATTCCAATATACTAACCTCCTCATTATGCAATTTTCTCCAGCCCTCAGAAAATCTCTTCATTTAGGCTCAAATATTCACATCAATGCCATGCTCTCAAACGGTCTTAAGCTACGTTATTTCTTTATTCTGAGAATCTGATGTCAGACTGTAGTTTTGAGTATTTTAATCTTTACAGTTATACACAGCAGTTGGTAAGACAAATAATTCTAAGCTGAATGGTAATAAACAATGCCTGAAATTAATGTTGCACTGATTTCTCCATAATAATAATAATTTGATTTGTTATGATGTCCTCAAATATGGGCACATGAATTTCGTCATGTTTTAGAAGGATTTATTACTTATTTTCATGTTTTTCCCCCCTACATTCTGATGACAAAGACATGAACATACAGTGTTCCCCACGTTAACTTCGAGACCAATCATAGCAGTAGCTAATAGAATTTATATGATTTTATTCGTAACTTTTATACTTACATCCAATAATTTAACATCGGTATAGATCAGAACGTGATGTGTTCCATTCATTTCCAGTCGCTCATGGTCTTTTCGCCCTTTCTCACAGCGAATTCTAAGACAGTTGAAAGAATGGCTGGTTTCATGTGCAATATTTTTGTTTGTATTGTGCAGTGATGCAGTGCGGGTTTGCGTGCCTGGAGGCTGGGGCAGTGCGGTCCAAAAACACTACCAACATCATGATGAAGAACATTATGGACATCTGTGAGTACACGAAGGCATTGCGTACAATATCTCAAATAATTTCAGTTGTTTACATTGAGAATTTGGAAGTTTACATATTAAGGGTCATTGATATAAATCTTCCTGGCCGCCTCTGTGGTCTAGTGGTCAAAGTTCCTGCCTATATATATATATATATTCAGAGGTACCGGGTTCGATTCCCGGCGCTACCAGATTTTCTAAGAAGTAGTGGGTCTGGAACGGGGTCCACTCAGCCTCGTGAGGATAACTGATGGGCTATTTCAAGGGAATAGCGGCTCCGGTCTAAAAAACCGAGATTAACGGCCTTGGGGATCCGTTTCGCTGACCACGTGACAACTTATATCCGCAAAAGTTGACGGCGGTCTCTGGGTCGGTATAGTTCGCTTGCTGCATGACTTAGCAAGTGACGTCATTTCCGTTGCGATTGCTGGAACAGGAGGGGATAATTTCTCATCTGCGTGCACCTACGTCACACCAAGAGCAGCTTGTCTGAGGAAAAAAAGCCTTTGGGAAGATGGTAATGATGTTATCTTAGACAGAACTACGAATAGTTGCGTGTATGTGCTACTGCGACTGAATGTAATTACCTTGGCGACTGCAATGTGGGCTGTTAGAGGTGCCCTCAAGTTCCTACTTCCGGGTCACTTACAGTTGTGGTAGAAAGTCAGCACATTTCTCCTGTGAAAAAAAAGTTTAAAAAAATTTGCAGTTGGTGGCCTCCAAATTACGACTACTAACAATCTTATTCATTTAATCGGCTATTTTTCCTGTGGACACACGTGATATGCCAAACTTTTAAAATCGCATACTTTATTTCACAATTATTTCCTTGCGACTAACATGTTCCACGTTCAGTCTAAAGTAGTTTAGTTAGTTTTTTAGTCTCTTGGGGTGGGTTGAGACTGAGTCCACTTGGTATGTCGGCCACTAATTAACTTTTGGTACCAGTCCAGGATGATAGACGATGTATATGGAACAGTCGGTGGAATGATAATTGGCAGGGGAAACTGAAGTACTCGGAGAAAACTTGCCCTAATGCCACTTTGTCCACCATAAAGCACACACGACTTTACCCGGGCCGCCGCGGTGGGAAGCCGGCGACTAACCGCGTAAGCTATGGCACGGCCTGGTCTAAAGTAAATAGCAGTATTAAAAATGCTCTATATTCGCCATAGAGTAAAACCTTCTACAATTGTGTTAGTACTTCCGAATAATTAGACACTAAGTAATGTCACAAGCCGGTCACGGTAGTCGAGCTGTCTAAGGCATGTACTGTCTTCGCTCGCTCGGAAACCGGGATCGCGTGTTCGAATCCCACACAAGGTATGGATGTTTGATGTGTGTGCGTTTATTCGGTTTATGTTGTTCTGTGTTTCGGTAGAGGCCTTGCGATGGGTTAATCACCCGTCCAAGGAGTCCTACCGTCTGCAAAAATGATCAATGAAACAGACAAATCAGCCCTAAGCTCCAAAGTGGGAGCGAGAAAGAAGAAGAAAATTCTACAACTGAATTATCGTTAAGGAATGACTTATGAACAAATCGTTGCCAGTAATCATGAAAATGAGAATGTTCGCAACATCGGACAAGGCGAAGCCCGACACAGAAAGTATAAGAGGCTTAAACTTGGTGGCGATCAGGCATACGACCGTTCAAGTGACTAGACTGCCGTGGTAGCGAATACTACTAGAAATACGGCATAATCCGCTGTATTGAGCCTGGATTGACAGAGGCCTTGTATATATTGTACATAGAAATAGGAATTAAGATTAAATTTGTAAATATATGTAAATACTGACAATGGACTTACTAATACGGACTATGACTGACAGATGACAGACCCGACCTCTCGTCAGAGAGGGCGCACCAAATGAACAGGACAGTAACCTTCATAGAAGAAAAAAAATCTGCTCATGAGCCCCAGCCGGGGCTCGACACCAAGGCAGCCAGACTGACGGACCGTCAGTCGCAATGTGACTTGGACTTGGTTGCCAGTATGGTGACAGCAGCGCTATATATGAAAATAATTTCAACGTTGGAGTCGAGCCATCCTTCTGTGAGCTTCGTTTTACTTCCATTTTATTTAAAGAAAACCCGACCCATTCTGCATTACTAGGAAATGAGACAGTGAATTGCGTCATGGAAGAGGTTTCCATTGCAGCAGAGAATAAGCGAATTGACGAGATTTCCTCTCCATTACAACCCACATATGATTGATTAAAATATAGTAGATCGTTTCCTTACATTACAATTCACCAATTAAAAAGCAGTGTACTAGGTTTTCTCCTCTGTTACAATCCATCAATGAACAAGAAAAGTGGCACATCTTAACCTCTATTACAACCTATCATTTGGGAGTCTAATAAGTAAAACAGTGGGGGTTTCCCTTTGTACTGTTCTGGGCGCGCCATAACGAGACGCCAGTGATGGATCAGCGGAGAGGGTATCACTGTCACCGACACTGCTATCATTGTCGACTAAATTCATTGTGAAGTTACCTAAAACGTCCATAATTGTTTCCCCCCCCCTCACCTTTAGTAGAAAATTTCAACATTTGTTACGTAGCGACAATAACCGGCCCAATCGTATTGCTTCCTTCTCGGACGTGTTAGTGGTATGTCTGAACCAGTACTCCGGGATTCTGCATAGTCCTGAACTTAAAACTCGATGGTATTCCAGTCACACATGCAACGTAGCAGCCCAATTACTGTATGGTTATGTCCTGCAAACACGTTATCTCTTTCTACTTGGCCGAATCTTATCAACTAACGAGACAAAAATGTAGATGTCTTCATACCTTCCGCGCATGCGCATTCCGTAACGTCGCGCATATTCAAATATGTCTTCTTGCATTGTTCATGAAGATAGCAGACGGGATTGCCAAATTTGGAATAATTTCCACATTCGTCCTTTTTCATAGTTATCGAAGTTCATTTGTCCGCGGTAATATCCTGTGTTTCAGCCACCCTGTACACCAACTCACAGCCATCAACAAAGCCACGAAATCCACCCAGATGGACAACCATGAGCCTTTTAGACGCATTTAAATAAACTTTAATGCCCACAACTTCCTTGTTCCACCGAAGTCTCATAAAAGTGCCAAACTGGCTTATCCGTCTCCTTGCATTTCCTTATGTGCTTATGCAACCTTCCATTTCACAGTCTTCTCCCTTTCAATTAATATTTTTCTTAAGACTCCAAGCCCATTTATTTTAATATTCGCCTTCAATTTCAGTCTTTCCAATACACGTAGAAGCTGGTCATTCCTTTCAAAACAGGGAAAAGCTTCTTGCAGATCGGTGCTATGTTTCGTCGTAAGAAAAGTCTTCAGTGACGTTGTTATTAGCCGTCGGTCCAAGTCGTCATCTTCTGCTTTTGGGAAATTCGGATGTCGCCGCGTTTTCCTCGTATCGACAACTTCCCATAACTTATGATTTATATTTTTCATGGCAATATATTGCAGTATTTTGCAACGGGAACACAAAGATATTTCTGTTCAGCTTCCTCGTCACAACATTTTATTACATTTGCAGTTATGTTTCACTCCTTTGCTCCGAACTGATAGTCCAAGCGTCCTTTGTGCTGGCATTACAATGACTTAGCAATAAACAGAACACCATTCATAAAAGAGAAGTTACTAGTTACATGCACACCCACTTGAAGTGGGTCCACGTCTGTGAGACTAAGTTGGTGTCTGGGCACAGCGCTCCTGCACATACCTGTAGTGCCTCTCCGCACTAACTCATGGCGCCCAGTCAATAAGCAGACAAATTAACGGTGTACTTCCAATCATAACTGCTTAGATTATTTCACGAGGTTGGTTCAGTTGGTGGACCGCTATCCACTAAAGGTGGCACTAACTTCGCCGACAGCTGGCGGTCGCTCGGTCGGTATAGTTCGCTTGCGGACTACAGGTCTCGGAGTTTTTTTATTCTCTTATCTTTGTGTTACAATTTCTTTCCTCAGGTAGTACAGCCAATCTCCATTTTGTAGTCTTGTAAAAGATATGAGGTTTCAGAAGACGCAAAAATTCATTAAAATTATAAAAACTCATTTGAAATAATTACAAAATTTTGATGGGTATTGTCTCAGTTCATGGTACAATGTGTAAAATTTTCCTTTTAACAGACGTTCGCTATATATAGGATGAACCCAATATTTCCGCTTCCTTTTTCCCTTAATCTTAACAATAATGCACACACTGCTGCTGTACCGTACACATCCATGCTGTGACTGACCCACTGCTCATTGGCGTAGTTGTGGACAGCTCGAAATTGTGTGCACACACCCCTCGACAGTCGTTGGGCCACCACGATCGTGCACAACTACCGGCCAACTGAAAATTTCATGTGTGCTCTAGGCCTAAGAGTACATTACAGTCTCAATGAATCTGGCATGGACATACATACAGCGTTCGCTGAATTTCTCCTCCCGACTGGAGGAACAGATATGCGTGTAACGAAGAAAACTGCACGTATCCTGACCTTAGTTCGAACTTCATCAACTCGAGGCGACACACAGACACAGCCCGGGTATACTGTGGCAGCCTACTCCAGGGGGAAGGGCTTCCGGCACTCGCTGGATGAGACCGGCTCCACAGTCTCAGTTGTGGTGGTGAGAGAAATGCCAGTGTTCCTGACGGGAATTAACACTCGGCTACTCAGTGTCTTAATTGGCTATCACATGCCATCGCCCCCACCCCAAGAAAGAAATAATGACGAAATTTTGAGGTTGATTATAACGAAATAAATGAAGTTCCAGGCCTGACGCTATTACAGTAATACTACTGACTCCATCTGTCAGGGATGAACGGGAATAGTTAGAGAGAACTTTTATTTATATAATGAGTAGATCTCAACTTGTTTGATTAATGCATATGAGGATTACAGTTGTTTTGGTGAAGTTAGTCTTTTAGTCGTGTCGAAGGTTTCAAAATGGAAGCGAGAGCTGAAATTAAGTTTTGTGTGACTAAAACTGTTTATTGTACTACACAGTCAGTCAACAATGCAGCAAATTGTTCCTTCTTCCTTACACTTTCACTTTCGACACAATATATTTCGGCCCTAAATGGCCATCTTCAGGTTTCTCACTATGATAAAACTGCGACACTGCACTAATATTGTCCATTCGCCACATATGCGACTGCACGCTTCATGGTTTAAAACGTCATACTCGTAGTCTATTGGTATACGCTAAAATAGTACAGGCTGTAGGTCACTTAATTTAAGTCAGTAAAATCTATTAAAGTTTTCTATTAACATTTGTTTTCCTTTAAATTCTTATTACACCTCACAAGGGGCGTCGTCCACTTGTTTTGACCTGTTTCCTTTTCTTCAGATGTTTTATTGCAGCAGCCTGTTTTTCTAATTGTAAGCCCGTTGTTGTGTTACGTCTGCAGTGTGTAATTGTGCCCCTTCCCTGTGCGTTGTTCCCTCTAGCAGCGAGTGGTGTTATCTTCACTTGTCAGCTATAATTACAGAAACGTTTTACATGTTTAGAAGTGTTTACGATGAAGAGCGTTTATCGAGAACAATTGTGTTTGAATGACATACAAGTTTCGAAGAAGATCAGAAAGAGAGAATGCAAATATCGCGGGTGAAAACAAGGTTGACTGCATTTTTTATGCTAACGATATCATTCATCACGAATTTGTGCCGAAAAAACCAGACGGTAAACCGTAAATTTGTGAACGGAGAAGTTCATGGAGGTAGGCCTAGGCCCATTGGGGCTGTAGTGCCAAGGGGAAAAAAACCCCTAAATTTAATGAAGATATGATTAAAAGATTGGTCACTCGAGTCCACTGTGTTAGGCCTGAGTTTCAGGAAAATGGGTCCTGGTATCTTCTGCATGACAAGGCACCGGCGTATTCTTTGGGCTTTGTCTCTGAGATTTGATACAAGCCGGGAGGCCGGGCGTTCGATTCCCGATGAGGTCACTGCATTTTTTCAATTGCCTAATACTTCCAGCAGCACTATTGCTCCTGGGGTCGACTCAGCCTCTAACAGAAATGAATACCAGGAATCTTCCTGGGGGTAAAGAACGACAACCTCACCGCCATCTGTGAGCCGATTGTCTAGAAAATGTGGGAGCTTTGACGTCTCACATTTTTATGAGCCTTCATGGCCTGTTACAGGGATAGTTCTTCTTTTATGAAATACTTTGGTTTAATACCTCCCGCGCAGTGACCAGCGTGGCTTCCGGTTAGCATCGCTTCGTGGTGACGTCACTATTTATTGCAGCAATAAGCTTCAGTCACGCACGGAATAATGTCACGGTATGCTGACCTGAAAACAAATTGTTCTATTCATTCAGAATTCTATTCATTCTGTTCTATCAGAATTGCCTTCTGCTCATCATAACAATAGAATGAATATGTAATGAGTTGCGTTTGCGACCTGAACCATCAAACGAGGCTCGCGGACGTTATATAACTGCAGGCAAGAAGCGAAATTAAGGCTAAGGCCACAAGAGAGTTTTTGCTTCACTCCGTGCGTGGGCTTGAGAATGAGATGAGGGACCAACGCACTTTGTCAGAAGGACTAGAAAGTCTTTGACCTGTTTCTAACTATGTTGCTTTATCAAGGTCTCCTGCAAGGCCGCGCCATAGCTCAAGCGGTTAGTCGCTGGCTTCCCACCTCGGCGGCCCCAGTTCGAGCCCGGGTCTGGTCAAGTGGGATTTGTGGTGGACAAAATGGCGCTGGAGCAGTTTTTCTCCAAGAAATTCGGTTTTCCCTGCCAATCATCATTCAACCAAATTCTCCATCATCATAATCACCTGTGGCAGGTACTAGAACAGACCAAACAGTGGCCGACGTGCCGAGTGGACCCAGCTGGAAGAAAAAGTCTCCTGCAATCGAACGGATTATTCTCGTTTTCGCTTGCACTGACGTGACAACAGCCCACATCACGAATACACTACTTCTCATTTCCATTTTTTTAGGCCGAGTGCGTACCTGCTGTGCTTTCTTGCGGTGAGAGGAAGCAGGACTCTTCCAGTGGGTTTCTGGTTTCCAGTCTGGTTTCTACGTCATAACCGTAAACCCACGTCTCGTCACCGGTAATGGCATTTTTAAAAAGATTTTTGCCATCATTAGCTCTTTGAAGGACATTTTGTCAGTTGGAAAATCGTTGCAGTTTCTGATTATCCTTGAAGAGTTTTGACACAATATTTCTGGTACCAGACGTATTCCTAACGCTTCCATTAAAATTGAGTGGCATGAACCGGTGTATATTCCAATATCTTCTGCAACTTCCAAGCCAGCCAGTCTACGATTACCACGGATAATATTTTTCACCTGGGCAATCAGATTTTCGGGTGATGAAGTTGAAAGTCGGCTACATCGCTCAACTTCAACCTTTGACGTTCTTCGATTATTTAAACGTCTGAAACATTCGTAGATCGTCGTTTGACTGAAGACTTCCATTATTTTGAAACGGAATTTTAAACACATCCTTTGCCTCTTTACCGACTCCATACTAAACGCGACAAGACAACAACGCACTCGATCACAATACCGGCTATAACAATTAAACGGATTTTAAGAACTGCTTAGAAGAAAATGGCTTGCATAATTAAGAGTCAGCTTGCAGTACCACTCATAAAACACCTAACGTGCCTTCACTTTGGGAACTACTTGACAAACATCGCAATTAATCGTACCAAGACCCGAAGTGCCGAAGTATGTTAGGTCATACAAAAATAATTGGATTACTGACACTGTTACGTATCCAGGTAACGCGACAAGAAATTATGGGTTCCGGATGAGACGAAGCTGTTTATTGGACACCTACTCGTCTACACCCACAATTACAATTCTCAAATAACGCCCTGTTAGACGAAGCGACTTGATTAGTTCGTCGTCTTTCGCGTTTCCTCTTCAACGGTCATACACGTACTCTTGCACCGCTATTCTCCGTGGTGTCTTTGCCCTTGGTTCTTCTCTTATCTTTCCTCGGATCTGAACTCCTTTGGTTTCTTATCTTCTACCCTCTTAAGTAGCTCTTCGCGTACCGCTGAGAGGACACCTTTTCAAAGGGTTCTGTTTCTCATGTTAGCTAGAATACTCGTTAGCGGATATATTCGTTGCCGTGGGAACTCAACAATTTTGTCTCTGCTTTTCTAGGCAGTTTCTTAGGTACTTGTCTTTTCATGTATTCGCTACCGCTGAAGTATGCGTTCCCATTGCAGCCGTTGCGCGGCGATGGACGTCATATAGTCCGGCTTTTAGGCCGCACGCCACAATATTAAACGTCTTTACACCGGATGGTTTGTCATACTAAGGTCAATAGAAGCGTAACGGAAAAGATGTCTCATATTAAAAGAAGACATAAGATTTGGGTGTGTTTTAAGTAACAATGTCCAACCAGAGGCAGATTGTCACCAATTTTGTTTCAGTCCTCAGCTGCCTCAGTTACTGGCTGGTGGGCTACGCGCTGGCCTACGGGGAGGGCAACTCAGTGCTGGGTTACACGTACTGGGCCGGAGTTGGACTGCCAGCAGAAAAGATGTCCCACTGGTTCTTTCAGTTCATTTTTGCTGCTACGGCTGCCACCATAGTGTCTGGAGCCGTGGCGGAGAGATGCAACTTTGCTGCTTATATTGTCTACAGCATCGGCATATCGGGTGAGTGAAGGACAGGCAGAAAACTGCCGCAGAACTCCATGGAAAAGGAAATAACTGCTATACAAGCTGGCACTATTTTTACTTGTGACTTCACAAAACTAGCAGGCAAGAAATAAGAAGAATTCTCGGGCTATCAGCCGTGCTGTTTGTTCAAAAATGACTGACGTTTCAGGGACCATACCTGTACCGTCAGCAGACTCTGAGAATGGAGGCAAACATGATCCCTGAAACTTTAGGGACTTTTAGCCTACTAACATGACTGAGAGCCCGAGAATATCTTATTAACTACAGCCACCGTCAAAACTTCAGATCTAACAAGATGAATTCCTTGTGTAAATCATATGAATATCAAGAAAGTCGTCTTCTGGGATGTGGCGCCGTTTAGATATTGTGTTAACCGACGTTTCGGAGGAATGTATCGCCTCAATCTTCAGGGCAGAAGAAAAAAGAAAATCGTCGAGCAACGACGTCTTATCCCCCGACTTTCGGCGGCAAGCCACAATATCAAGGCAGCTGTCTCACTTGCGGCTAGAAAATTGGTTTTATGCGCCCCGCGAGATTATTCTTTCGTTACACAAAATACGTGTACCTTCTCTTTGAAAAATGCAGTGAATCTCGTCAAAAGAACAACATAAAATGCGCAACTGACATTACAGAACTTCAAACTTAAATTGCTGTTTTTTAACCTTATGGATCCAATTCTAGATAGTACCGAGGTCAAGAAAGGTGGAGCTACACCTCCATTCCCCACATGTCTTCATGGCATAGCGCTTAATTAATTAGGCACCTTACCTATGGGCCCAATTCTTATACGCGTTTCTTTGCTCCATAGATTTTGTCTGTTTTCCTTTCCTCATGCTTCCTGTTGCCCTGTCTCGCTAACGAAGTGTTTGAGAACAGATATTTACATGATCATTTCTGCCTGTCTGTAAAATGTGGAACATTATGCTTATATTTTAGGTATGTAATTAAGATTCAGCCGGTCACACTAGCCGAGCGGTCTAAGGTATGCACTGTCTTCGCTCGCTCGGAAGTCGGGATCGTGGGTTCGAATCCCATATAAGGCATGGATGTTTGGTATGTGCATGTGTTTATTCTGTGTTTGTGTTGTTCTGTGTATAGGTAGGGGCCTTGCGACGAGCTGATCACTCGTCCAAGGAGTCCTACCGTCTGAAAAATGGTCATGAAACTGAAAAATCAGAGTCCAGGGCCCAAGGGGGCTGTAGAGCCAGTGAAAAGAAAAGATTCATCCTGCATAGTCTGAGATACTGAAAGCATCAGAAAATAAAATTAAAAAGTAGTGCTATTTTAGATGGCGCCGGATAATTTGTGAAACACAGGCTCTGACATCTGTTTCAGGAATTGTGTATCCCCCGATATCTCATTGGGTTTGGACCGAAGTCGGCTGGCTCAACAGGCTCGGATACGTGGATTTCTCTGGTTGCGGCCCTGTCCATCTGCTGGGTGGTGTCTGTTCCTTTGTCGGCGCCGTGTTCCTCGGCCCACGACTTGGACGGTTTGGAAACAAGTATGACGAGTCGGAGAAGGAAGAAATCGTGGGACACTCTATTCCAGTACGTACAAAGCACTCAAAACCTAACTGGAAATTAGCTGTATGACGCAGTAAACTCATGTAGCCGCGGGAAACATCTGTGCTTCTGCATAAAAGTTTAAAAATTCTCACTTGAGTAAAGGAACTGTCTCCGACAATGGTGACGTCATCTTGGGCCATTCAAATACTGCGATACCCGAAGAGAATGTCGCTTACAGCATGGCTATATGCCGAAGTTTCCTTTCAAATATCTAATATATTGTCACGAGTCCTGGTATCCTTGACAAATAATTAACGGATTACGGATTTGACGAAGCTGTTTTATTGCATAAGTTGTAACCACAAAGAATTATAAGTCTCCAAATTATTACTGGAACAATAACACATAAATTCTTCACACTTCAATTATAATCTTCGTTTGTAGCCTCCGGGACATTGCTGTTGGATTACGTCCGTCAGTCCGTTATCTTCGCCACTCTTATAATATTATCTTGAACCGCGTAGAAGTCACTACTCTCTCAATTGCCTTGAACTCATATCAACTCAACTGCTGAGCTGCTTTGAACGACGCCTTCCTGTCTAATCCCTCGAACAGTGTTCACTGCTCCCTATATAGCCTCGGCACGGACCCTCCACAGAAAACACATGGCTGCTTATCAACGGATATCATGTATTGTTGTCAGGCGTGTCTACCCATCAATTGCCTAGCAATGGACTCCCCATTATTGCGCATTCGTTGCTATGAAGCATACTGCCTCATGGGGTGAGAGGCTGTGTAATCTGGTAGGTCAGGGACGATTCGGAGGGACATACGAATTGTTTTCTTCGGTTCCGAACCTGTACATCTGTTAGGAGGTGTTTCCTGTCTCCTTGCCCAGCTCTCTTAGGGCGAGGGCACACCAAAGAAACTGGAAACTGATTTCCAGATTAGCAGGGCACACTGAACTTTGAAATGTTAATTTATTTTAATTAAGATCAATTTGTTTTAATCAGGAAATATCGCGTTCACACGCGATATCAAATTTTGACATACAGCGCAACAATTTTAGCAAGATAGAAGACACCTAAAGATGGCAGCACACGGCCGAAACATGTAGTATGGAAGAAGGGTAACTGTATAATAATAAGTTACATTTAAGACGGAAATATGAGAAATAAATGATATATTAATCCAACAGGTGCTTAAATACAATATTAGGAAAAAAGCATTGGGTGAATCCGTTCTTCTGTGATAATTTAAACTCAGGCGCTTGTATTGTTTTAAAAGAACTTAATCTGGATCCAGACTCATTCATCTCGTGAGAAATTCTGTCCAGGCCAAATCTATTTTGTCCTGCCTAGCACAGTGAGACTGTTATGTTGCCAGAACACGGCTAGTGAAGAGTGGGCATCCTAGTGCTTGTGCAACGATGAACTGGAAGATGTAAGATTTGAGGTTTTCACGGCGGTGACTATGAAGACAGCAGTCTTCTGGGATTTGGCACCGTGTATATGTGGTATATGAGGAACGTATCGCCTCCATCTTCAGGGTAGTAGGAAATATATAAGAAATCCGCAAGCGAAGAGACCGTGAGAACCGGTAAAAGCAGACTGATGTTGGAAATATACACACGGTCTCTTCGCTTGCGGATTTCTTATATATTTCCTACTACCCTGAAGATGGAGGCGATACGTTCCTCCGGAACGTCGGTTAACACCACATATACACGGTGCCATATCCCAGAAGACTGCTTTCTTCAAGAACTGGAAAGTTTGTGAATCAGCGATAGCGTTGTATTTCTTGTATTTAAGCGTGATTCAGAGAGGTTATAACCAAAGTGCCAATAAATCCAATCATCCGAACCAGAAACCGTCATTTCATCACGCGCACCACCATACACGTGACATTAATTTATTCTCCCATATGGGACTGCCTACAAAGAAAATTTCCTGGAGGGTCTCAACCACTCAAAACAACCTCTTTGCATTCTAGCTACATGCTCATCCCATCCCAGCCGGGTACAAGAAGCACTATTTGACCTTTATAAATCACACAGTTTCTTATAATTGCGAAAGTACAAATGCATGTCTTCAAATACAGTATTTACGCTTTCTAAAACATGTGCAGCTGGTGGGGATCGGAGCAATGATTCTTATAACGGGGTTCCTGTCCTTCAACGGCGGCTCTCTGGGCTCCATGACGAACCCAGGAGACGGCGAGATCATCGCCCGGGTGATTACGAACACGGTGTTGGGCGGCACTGGCGGCGGAATCGCAACTCTCTGCGCCACCAAGTTGGGCCTGTTGGGGGCGCCCTTCTGGAACTTCAGCTTCACAGTGAATGCAACCCTCATAGGCATGGTGAGTGGTCTCGACCAGCTGCATGGCAATCAGGACACTGATCAGGTCCATTGTGCGTCCCCCTTTAATTTCTACTGTCGCCATACCCTACCGGTACTGGTGCGTGCTATCAGCCCCGTTCAGCCAACGAGGTCGGCAGTCGGTAACTGATATTTCCCCCATCTACCAGGGGCATTGGAAACTACTTGGGCGGGAAATTGTTGCCTAATTTTGCGCAGAGGTCTCCTAGAGACATGAGGATCTTTTGCGTGCCGTAAATCTACGACACGGGACCCACGGCTTAAAGTCCCTCCCGGAGAATTGCAAACTATGTTTTGTTCGATCGATACTGTGAGCGTCCTCAGATAGCCAACTTCGGCAGCGTCTACATGAGCGCACAAAATGCGTCCGTTGTAACGAACGTCGTGACGTCTGTTGTAGAAATAAACAAGAGAGGAGAATGCTACACTTTCTTCTGGCTCCATTGCAGACAGAAAACTACGTACCGCATTCTGCAACTGTGTGGTGTCCTCAGCAAAGTACGTTCGTTACAACGGACGCATTTTGTGCGCTCGTGTAGGCGNTACCGCGTGCCCCCGAATAAATGGAATAAAACCTATTAAAATCCAACGGACATACAGTGGCAAAATTTAGCAAGCCACTTTTACAAATACACGTACTATCAGTAGTAGTAGTAGTAGTAGTAGTAGTAATGGTAGTACCACATGTTATTAGAATGACAAAAACATCGAGAGGGGTAAGCAGCACGCCTGGAAGAAAAAAAAATGCACAAAAATCTGAAAGTCTGAAGACAGGAGATCCAGATGCAGACATGGGGATAATATTAAAACGAAGCTTAAATAAATATGGTTTGAGAATATGGCATAGATTCGTTTAGCATAGGATAGGGTCCAGCAGTCCGCTCTCGCGAACACGGTTATGATTGCGCGGGTTGCATAAATGACAAGGCGTTTCTTGACTAGATGAGCGGTTTTTCAAAAAGGACTCTTTATGCAGCCGTAGTCACATCTGCAATAGTAAAAAAGTAAGTAAAGGTATCCCTGTGACAGGCTATGGAGGTCCATAGGGTTGTGACACGTTGAGGTTCCCACATTTTCTAGACAATCGGCTCATAGATGGCGGCAAGGTTGTCAGCCCTACGCTCCGGCAGCCCTTTACCTCAAGAATATTCCAAGAATATTCCTGGCACTCATTTCTGTCGCACCCAGGGCCATAGTGCGGCTGGAAGTATTAGGTCAATTGAAAAAAATCCAATGACCTCATCGGGACTTGAACCCGAGTCCCTCCGGCTTGGAGCATAGTGCCTGAACCAAGTACGCCACCGCGTATGTGCATTAGTAGAAGGTAAAAGTTAAAGTTGTCCCTGTGCTTAACTAACTGAGCCCTACGCCGCAATGACTTATGGGGAGGAGGAGCTGCGCCATTCTCGACCTCAGCACTACATGGAGGTCAGTGGTCAACCTAACACCCCAAGGAAAATCGCCCCCTGCACCTATTGAACAGGAGGCTGTGTGGGCTCCACAGCCGGTCTGGTCGGTGTGGAGAAGAAAAAATCTTACTCCTGCCGGGAGCCAAAACCGGGCCGTCCAGGCAGTACCCAGTCGCTCTACCGACTTACACTCATCAAATATAAAGGTAACTTTCATTCCCCTTAATGAAGAAATCCATAAATTTAGACAAAACGAGTGAATTTTCGTCACCTTGGTACGTGTAACATAACCATTAGTGTTGTAACCAGGGTTGCGTCAGAAATTCCACTGTAAAAATCATTTGTTCGTCTGTGCATTTACCGAATCATCTTTTGCGTATTTCCTTTCCATTATTAGGGGGTCTTCCCCTATATAAAACTGTACAACGCTACCCGCTATCATCTTAAAATATCTGAAGAGTACTGTCTTCTGGGTAATAATGCCAGATTGTTTGGAGAGAGTCCGACGTTTCGGAGGCATACATCTTCTGGTATAAATTCACCGACGTTTTGGAGGAACGTCCCGTATCCCTTTCCGCCAGCTTCTGCTAAGTTATTCTTTGTATTACTCTTCGATTTTGAAGATTGAGTCGATGTATTCCTCCTAAACATCGGCCTCTCTCCGAACTACAGGGCGTTACATCCCACAGTGACCGCTGTGAAACTCTGAGATTCAACTTAACAGGTTTTATTTACACAGCACACGGAAATTATCTACTTCTCGAAGCCAACTGCAGTATACGGAACCTACACGACTGTCTGACTTTCCAAGCTGTGTGACGTTACAGGTGTCCGTGTGCGCAGGCGTCAACAATATGACCATGTGGGCAAGTTTCGCGTGCGGGATCACAGCTGCGCCTATATACATTCTCATTCGTTACATCATGATTTGGTGTAAAGGTAAGCAAACTTTAGGGGCATAAGTGAAGACTGCTATGCCATAAACTGCAATTATCTGTAATTATTTCTCTTTGTATGGTGCCGACCATGAAAGTTTTGTGTGCCTATATGATTTTTATAGTCGATCACAGTGGCCGCGCGGGTCTAAGGCATGAACTGTCTTCGCTCGCTCGAACACTGGGGTTATGGGTTCGAATCCCACTCAATGCATGGATATCTGTGTGCGTTTATAATGTGTGTTATGTGTGCTGATCCCCCATCCCATCGACTATGTATAGGATCAAGAAACTGAAAAAGAGGTATTATTATATTATTCGGAGGGTGTGGGTTTCCCCATGCACTGCGACCGTTTGTTGATCTATTGTCCATCCCCCTTTAATTATTCTAACTAGTCGCCATGACCTTCGAGTACTGGTGCTCGCTATCAGCCCCGTTCTGCCCATCTACCGGAGGAATTGGAAACTACTTGGGCGGGAAACTTTGCCTAATTTTGCTCAGAGGACATGAGACATGAGGATCTTTTACGGCTTAAAGTCCCTCCAGGAGGACTTGTTCCCTGAATTTTCCGCCCTTAAAAATTCCACGACCTCCGCCGGGTTTGAACCCGCGTACCTTGAGTCATGAAGTGGGAACGTTAACCCTAGACTACGGAGGTCGCTGAGAAAGAGGTTAAGGCCCCAACAGAGGGCTGTAGAGCCATAATAATAATAATAATAATAATAATAATAATTCACAAATATACCAAAATGGGATGTTTTCCCTTTACGCCGCCGATATGCAGGGCATTATCTATAGCATATACAACAGTGTCCTTGAGAATCCGATAGTCAGGTATCTGATAAAGAAATTCTTCGACTTTTATGATATGTACTCCACGAAGTCCATTAGCGTGTTAGAACCCGCCACTAGTCCATATCCTGAGCCATGTAAATCCAGGCCACGTCTTTATATCCTTTTCATTAATATCAGACGAATCAGGCCTAAAGCCGTTAAACTACTACTTTCTGAAATACTGGCAGTGTCACATCAACTTCATGCCAACCAGTAACTTCTATTTCGAATCCTGATCTCGCGGATTTAGACCCATAACTTTGTGGTGATTGTAGCAACTCGACATTGCAGGCAAAGTTGTCCCTGCGTTTAATGAATCAAGAACCACGGTATAAAGACGCATGGGGGAGTGGAGTTTTAGTTCCACCATTCTTGACCTCGGAATAAATGGAGAAGAATGGTTGTGGCACTGTATAGTATTGATATGGGCTTTATAGTTACGGTAACAATGAGCTGTAGGTTCCTCGGTGTATTTTATAAAATTTTCACTCCTCCTACGGCAAGTTTCACTGATGTGGTCAACAAGTGTTACTTCTGCAACTGACAAAATTAGTGCATTTCGGTCGGTCGATCGATTAAATTGCTGCTGGCGCTCACCAGCACAGTCACTCTTGGCTTCAGGTCTCGTCGAGATCTACAAACAACATTTGTGTTCTCTCATAGAGATTTACATGTTTCAGAAGTGGGACCTCTTCTTCGATGAAAAGAGGGGTCGTTCTCTCTGGTATCGCTTGGTCAGTCTGACTGACTCTTAAATTGTTGCTGGTCCTCGCCAGCACATTGATTCTTCGTTCCGAGATCCACGAGAATTATGACCACAATTTCCTGTCAGTCTCACTACGACTCTATCAGTGTATTGCTTCAAGCAGCCTCTTTAAAGCTAGCAAGAATAAAGGTGTAATGTCAAGCGAGTAGTCGCTGCCTACAGGATTTATAAACAGCGAATGACTAACGTGGACTCTGTCACTTATGTTATGTTGGTAAGACCACAGCACTTACGCATGGCTGCCTACAAAAACCCATTCCCTTAAAACTGATTCGTCTTACCTAGAATGTTTACATGACATTAGTTTCCTTCATAAACTACCCAGTAAAATCTAGTTATAACGGAATCCTAAAGATCCCTAGAACTTCCGTTTCAGACAACGATATATTTATGATATCTACTTAACATTGCACAGTACATGCTTCATGAATTTATGATCCAAATCATAAGTCAGGCATTCATGTTACATATATTTTTTTCCCATTGGCGCTACGGCCCTCGTTTGGGCCTAGGCCTACCTCCATGAACTTCTCCGTTCACTTCGGTTTTACTAGATCTTAGAAATTCGGTAGGACTCCTTGGGCGGGTGATCAGCTCGTTGCAAGGCCTCTACCTGTACATAAACAGAGAAAAACGCACACAAACATCCATACCCTGAGTGGGAATCGAACCCACGATCCCGGCTTCCGAGCGAGCGAAGACGGTGCATGCCTTAGACCGCTCGGCTACCGTGACCGGCATGTTACCCTACTTTATTTGTAAGCAGCGCGTATGTATTTTTTTAATTCCTTATATTTCCAGGATTTCATTAAAATACTGCATGCACAGATCATTCTGGCAGAAACATCGCAGCCAGCTGCTGGGCAGCCATCAGATGTATAAAGCGACCACTCAGAATCATACCAGTAAATAACAGAAAACCTGACAATGGGAATACATAGTTGTCCAGTCTAGAAAACCGAGATTAACGGCCGTGGGGATTCGTTGCGCTGAACACGTGGCACCCTCTATCCGCAAAAAGTTGGCACTAACTTCGCCGACAAGCGGCGGTTGCTTGGTCGGTATAGTTCTCTTGCGGACTACAGGCCACAGAGTTTGTTTTGTTTTCTGTTGACTACATAGTTGCCAGAGTAGATGAGTGTTCTATCTCCACTTTTGGGCGAAAATGAGGTAATGCACTTTTCTGATTCTCCGTATTGTGTACTGCCATAGTTTTACCTTATTTGCAAGTGTGAGATTTTAAAATGCCATTTGTTCTAAGCCATATATAAACCGCAGCTGTTTCTCTAAGTTAAAACCCAGTCTTTTTCGAAAAATTGATGTTGTTGGATATAGTACGTCAAAACTTAGATGACGATGTATACACGAGGTTTCGGTAGCATCCTTTTATTAATATACATTAACAATGCTGTGGTAATAAACGTGGGATGGTGTGGTTTGGATTGATCTGGCTCAGGATAGGGACCATTGGACGGCTCTTGTGAACACGGTAATGAACCTTCGGGTACCATAAAATGCTGGGAAATTCTTGAGTAGCTGCAGAATTGACAGATCCTCAAGAAGGGCTCAGCTCCATGAGTAAGTAAGTAAATAAATCGTAATAAATTAGCAATTTCATTACTTCAGTATATTTTATTTTAAGAAAAGCTTGTGCGAGGAACCGAAATGTTCTCTACGATGTACTGCAACGGAACTCCGAAACAAAATGTGTGGAACACTATGAACACAATTTACGAATTATTAAATATCATTATTTCAGCTGGGTGACAGTCATGTCAGCGATCTTAATACTTCTTGTAGAGTTCTTGTTTGAAAATCTTTGGATGACTGAAAATGCTTGAAATGCTTTATAATCATATTTTAACATTACTCCATCCACTGGTTTGGCCTTGTCCTGCAGCGAACTGATGCACTCACACAATGACGTCCGTGGTGAAGGTATACCACTCTCGCTTTAGATAATTAATAGTTCATTTCATCTGCAACTGTTTACTACGGTTAACACTGTTTAAGTGAGTTCAATTATTAAGCACTTGCAAACGAGGTATGCACTAGGCAAATTTTTTAAGCTTTCTAAGACATTTAGATGCACGGTGTTAAACAATATGTATGCATTGTCCTCATAAGAAGAGCACCAACCTAAGGCCGTAAGAACAGACTGCATTATCTGACCGCGGTGTAGAGATTTCTCATCTGGCAGCCATAAGAAATGTGTCACTGCCATTGGTTTCGTCTCTCTGTTATATAATTAACTGTAGGCTCTGTCAACTGCGACAAATATCCTGAGCGCATCATGCATAACATTATATAAGCCTTAACTCTATCGAGGGATCCGCAGGATGAGCCCCGAAGAACTTAGAGGGACCTAAATGCTCACAATGATTGTCTGAAAGTGGAAATCGATATGAGACAGGAATCCGTGCAAAAACAGAATTATGACACTTGCTTCCTTCAAATAATTCCCATTTAAATGACGGGATTAATAAATATACAACTCATTGCCGTCGTTAGACCCAATTTCAAAGACTCACGCTGTTGTCATATTCGTAATTTATATGCCATAAAAATATTTCGTACAAAATTTGATGGTGTATAATAAAATTTTGGGGGCATGCGGTAGCGTAGTTGGTTGAGTCACAACACACGCCGGAAGGTCGAGGGTTCGATTCCCGATGAAGTCATTGGTTTTTCAATTGACCTAATCCTTCCAGTCCCACTATGGCTCTGGTGTTGACTCAGTCTCTAACAGAAATGAGTACCAGGAATTAATTAAATAATTTTCCTGGGGAGTAAACCGCGGCCGGCGCATAAGGCTGACAACCTTACCGCCATCTTTGAGACGATTGTCTAGAGAAAATGTTTGACCCTCAATATCTTACAACCCTATTGGCCTTCACGGCCTGNAATAGAATTTTACTTCGTGCATAAAACTAACGCCCAAACAGCTGCGCGTTTATGGAAGATGCATTAATCGCATAGCAACCAGGCCAGTGCGACAACACGGACCAACCAAGTGTCCGCCCTCCCCGGGGCTGCACATTTTACACATTCTATGGTTATTTTGTTAAGAGAGAAAATTACGCTGTGTATTTGTTCACAACGCGACTATTAACTGGCAGTAATCTAGACATGTTATGTAGGAATGCAAAACTCTATTGCAACAATTAAATCACCAATTATGATTACGTGGCGGTATCTAGAAATTTCGTGTTAATATTTGTGACGAAGTTTTCAAGAAGTTATCTGTTTTCACCTGAGGGCGGCGCATCTTGCTCTGGACCTGCAAAAGAGCTCCATATACCAAACAGACAACAGGCCGTGTGGACCCAAGGGTATGCTTGAACACAGTGGCGACAGAAATGTCATAAAGTCCGAAATAAGTTTCATGAAATCCTTCGGAGAGTTCAGAAATTAATTGGACGACAAACAGACATGCAGACAAGATGACACCATGACCATAACTTTTGCTAAAAATGAAAGAATATTTTAATTCACTTTTGTTTGGGTTGAATTTATCTCCATATGGTGCTGAGATAAAGAATGCAAGGAGCTAATTGTTAAACAACAACACAATAATCAAGGACAAAAACTCTTACTAAAGTTGAGTCAACAAAATCGCCCTACAAGTTTCGGTCCCATAGGAGCATCTTCAGAGGCTCCTGTATTAAATACAGATTGCTTACGTGTATATTTGAAATTATAACCAAAAGTATTAAAATTATTTTGCAAATATAGAGATGCCTCATTATTTCTTAATTAATATCTTTTCCATCGAGTCCTTTCGCCCACAAAAAAGCACAACAGAACGCTGCTCTTCGGTACTCCTCAAGTACAGTCGCCATATTGACTACTGAAACTAGCTTCTGAACATGTGCATGCGCGTCTGCTACGTAGTGTGTCATGAGGCTCGACTGTGCTGCTACCTAGTTATACACACAGAAACCCTATTACGTCCACTACAGCTGTTCTACTTCCATTTCCCTCGTAAAATGCAAGGAGTTATACTTTCATCCATCACAGGTCTTCATGCCGTGGTGCTTATTTAAGCACAGAAACAAATGTACCAACCCTAATTAAAGAAACGTCCGGTAACGGTAGCCAAGCGGTCTAAGGCATGTACTGTCTTCGCTCGCTTGGAAACCGGGATCGTGGGTTCGAATCCCACTCAGGGCATGGATGTTTAGTTTGTGTGTGCGTTTTTCTGTGTTTGTGTACAGGTAGAGGCCTTGCGACAAGCTGATCACCCGCCCAAGGAGTCCTACCGAATGTGTAAGATCTAGAAAAACCGAAGTGAACGGAGAAGTTCATGAAGGTAGGCCTAGGCCCACTGGGGCTGTAGTGCCAAGGGGAAAAAAAATTAAAGAAACGAGGAATCAGATGAGTAACCGAATATCTTAACTTTGTTATTTACGAAAGCCTGCGTATTATTGTAGACTTCCTTTGCCTTCTACCAATTTCAGGCAGGAACTGAGAAATCCATTCAGAATTAATATATATATATACATATAATTTCTCGTCTCCTGGAATGATAGCATGTCATACGTTTTGTTGCAGTTGATGATCCGCTGGATGCCGTGGCTGTTCACTTCGGTGGCGGATTCTGGGGCCTGATTGCAGCTTCAATATTTGATAACAATGGATTTGTGTTTGGCGCCGCCTATGAATCTGCAATGGTACGTAGTCCCTGTATGGCACGTAATGATGGAGGCTTGGCACTTGTGGGGTGATGAAGGGATCGTCAAGGGAGACAGATCGGAAATAAACCTACCTTCTCTGTGCAGCATCAGTATTGGTCACTAGTGTACTTGTGTAGTGCACAACTGAACACAATTAGAGCAACTGTGTTTTGACTCAGGTAGTAGTCGCTGATACACACCTCTACCACACCTTTAAAGGCACCATCTTCTTACAGTCTTCACAACTGTCAGGATTAGGGTCTTGTACTGTTCTCTCTCTAAGGTACAGCAAGTAGATAGTCCCTCTACGCTTGCGCTCTTACCTAAGGGACCCATTGTTTCAGCATTAATACTGAATGAAGGAGAGACTACCTTCATCTAGCATAATGAAATAAAAATTCATTATGGATCTCGTATCTGTGGTCTTTCAGGACAGCCTGCAGTTCGCTTATTTTCGCTTCACTGCAGCACAACATTAAGCAGTTTACTATTGGCATGTGTATGGGTGTACGCGTGACGAAAATAATGGGTTCTAGTTCGGATGCCTGGATTTATTGGTACTTCGATTCCAATCTCTCTTATTTACAATTAATAGAGCGCTATCGCTTATTTACACAATTTACAGTTCACCGTTGCATACGCACTAGGATTCTGTTTCCATAGTCATCTGCTAGCAATGGATCTCAACACAGAAACTAGTACTTCAAATCACTATGAAGTCTTCTTGTCTTCAATCATTTTGCACTTCTCTGTCTTAATCTGTACTTAACTAATCTTCACAGTTCACTAAGGACATGCTCCATTCTCGTCCTTGCGCTCTCAACTGCTCCTAGCTTCTGACTTCACTCATCTTATAAGCATTCCGCACAGACCCAAACGAAAACATAGTCCGTATTGTTGATGACGTCACCGCTTGCATAGCACCGTCCGGAAATATGTTTACTGTATTTAAGACTCAAATAATGTCGACCTTAAAACCAATTACAATGAGTTAAAGTCTCCTGTGATAATGGCCGGGTTACATTTCCGCTACTCCATAGCATCAGCCCCCTATCCAATGGGTAGCGGGTGCTCTTTCCCGTGGGTAAAGCGGCTGGGGCGTGAAGGTGACAACTCACCCCCATCCAGTGCCAAGGTCAAGAATAGTAGAGCTATACCTTCGCTCCCTCATATGTCTTAATAGTGTGGTCTTTTATTAATTAAGCACAGGGACAACTTTATTTTTACCTTACAGCTGTATTAAAGGGTGCTGCATTGAGTTTCATCAGCATCTGCCAAAGTATTCAAAACATATTCATAAAAAATCTGTTAAGTCTTTAGTGGTTCCTAACGTAAACCACATCATACTTGGTAGACAAAGTTTAGTATAGGACTAATGCTCTGAGATTCCCCTGGGAGGTAAAGCGGCCGGGGTGTAAAGCTGACTATTCATTTCCATCTAGTGCCGAGCTAAAGAAAGGTGGAGTGATACCTTCACTCCTCCATGACTTCATGCCATGACGTTTAATTAATTAAGCATAGGGACAACTCTGTTTTCATATTTGCTAGCACACTGAGTTTATTTAAAACTGATCCCTTAATTTGACCGCTGTTGCTTGCTGAAATTTGGACAGGCAAGGAAAAATTAACAAGCGATTTTCGAGATGACATAATAAGCGAGCATTTACGAAAGATCATACATATTATCTGTGTTAGTGGTATCAAACTCGCAGAATACAGGGGGCATGAGGCTGGCAGGTTGGTATTGTGCACATCGCGGGAAATTACGTATACTGCAAACATCAAACCTTGGAGCATCATACATAGTGACACTTAAACCAACAAAACCAAAGAAAGAATGCACTGAGTTATTGTTAAACACTGTCATCGAAATTCCGAAACCTTTTGGTGATAATCTCGCTCTAAATTTTGAGCACGTGTTATTTCTTTCTTTTGCTATAAGAAAATTAATGGAGTTTTTCCAATTCTGTCGTGTAAAATTAAAAGATGTAAAACGTAAGTAAATGTTTCTTGGTCTTATAAGTCTAATTATTTAATTTGTGCTTCATAGATACATTCACTGCGTGGCGAGTGTTTTTACTTGTGCACTGGAAACAAATATATATTTTTTATAATGCTGCAGGACGCGTGTCCCCTTAGTGGTTTGAAGTTGGACAGCCCTGATAAACCTTATAAAAGTAAGACCGTATAGCCCATACAACGTTCTCATATTTTTGCAGTTCATAATTTTGTAATTATTTCTTCCATAACTACCAATTTTACAACATAGAAATGTGTTTCAGATTTTAGCGTACAGAATGGTTGGAGCAGCGGCCATTATCGTCTGGGGAGGACTTGCGTCCTGCGTCATGTTCGGAACTCTCAAGTACCTAGGAAAACTTCGGGTTAGCGAAGAGGAGGAGAGGAAAGGTAAAGGATTACTCAAATGACAGACAATTACATACAGATTAAATTGATATGCCGATACAATAATTCATACGCTTTATCGCGTGTAATACCAATACTGCAAAGTCAGAAATGTTCCAAACTGCATTTGTTACGCTTTACGCCGTCTTACATGTGAAATGTTCCCACATATTAATCAAGGCAAAGTTGTCTCTATGGATGCCGAGTCGAATACCTCCACCGTAGCCTGCAAGTCACAGAAGGCGACGAAAAGGGAACCCAGTGCCTGGGGGTATAAGTGGGCCACCCTGTTACCGGGTAATATAAATTTAGAGGAACTGACTCTCCAGTTTTGGGGAAGTCTCGAATCTGAGACAGTAAAATGTGATTATGAGTCCAGCGGGACTCGGACCTGAGAATGACTGCGCTGGCGAGGACCAGCAGCAGAGAGGATGTTACATAAGGACTATGACCCCAAGTGTTCAGTTGAAAAAATACTTGTCGTGGGTCTCAAGGGGCTTCTTGCCAAGACAAACTGATTAGCGGTAAACTGCCAGTCGGAAAGTAACTCTGAATCAGTCTCTGACTGTACTTAATTACTTAAATACTATGCCATGAAGACACAGGGGGGAATGGAGGCGTAGTTCCACCTTTCTTGACCTCGGCAATAGATGGAGGTGAATGGTTAGTTTCACGCTCATGTCGCTTTACCCCCGGGGATAGAGCCCCCCGTACCAATTGGATAGGAAGCTGGGTGAGCCCCAGATTAGGTGTGGACACTGTGGAGAAGAAAAAAATCTTGCACTGCCGAGAATCGAAGCCGGGCCGTAGAGCCTATAGCACATCGTTCTAACGACTGAGCTACGCCGGGTCTCCCTATGTATTTCATGCCTTAACATTCAAGATAAAATGTGAAAGGAGACTTTTCCATTCGAAATTTTCTGCAAAGAACCCGGAAACGAATTTCTTGACGGACAGGGTGTTCTGAGCACACGTTTCAACATTTCTAGCTCCTACGCACATTTCCGTTTTCCTCCTGTTTCAGGTCTGGATCTGGCCATGCACAATGAACCAGGTTATCATCCGTTAGGTTGGAACAACTATCCTCCTGTGACACTCTGGCAGCCTCCATTGCACGTCTCTGTGTTTCCAACTATTGACGTTACTCACAGAGGAGGAAAACATCGACGTGCGTTCAGATCCATATAATTTGGTCAAATTTTATCGTTCGTAGAGCTTTAACAGTGAAATTTGTTATTATACAGTGAATTTAGCTCATTTCCATGTTCACAGATAACGCACATACACGCCACATATCGGACTGCATGAACGAAGCCTTCGTAGACACAGAAAATGGCGGCCATCCAGTGCAAGAGTCGAGCAAAATGTAGTTGTTCGCCGATCTGTGGAGAATATGCCTTCTCAATGAAGACGGCGCAGTGTCGCGAAGGACTAGCAACAGAACCGAGGGCCTGAGCACTTCAGGCTGAATTTGGACAAGATTCAACATGCAACAATATTTTCTACTGCTGGCACACTTCAGTGTCATAAAGGATTGGCAGAGACACCGAGGGCCTGAGCTCTTAGGGCTGAGTTGGGACAAAAGTATTTTGGAACGTACAGCTCACCCCTCACCTTTAGTGACAAGACTGGGCTGGGCCTTTTCTGCTCTCCGCCACACTTCGTCGTGCGGTGCTTAGCTGACACATGAAAAAGTATTTATATATATATAGGGTTGCTCAAAAGTCAGTTAACAGTTTAGTAAAATGTACTAAACTGAAATATATTGGAAATTTCTCTTTTACTTACTGAATTCGAAAGAAAAAACACCTCGAAATGAGATCCATTTTAAGTGCACAATTCACAAAATTGTGTTACCGTTCTATAAATTTACTGACACGTTTAAAGTTAAATTTTACATTCGTACGAGGAAATATTTTAGATCAAGTGACTTTTGGGCCACTCTGTATATACCGTCACGTAGGATGTGTGACTATAGACGGGGTTTCGGTTGAATAGATTCATTGACCACTCACAAGTCGCAACTACAAGAAATTATCAACATTATCACTATTTCTACATTTTACATTTCAGTAGACCACGGAGTTTAGTGATCTCAGTCTGTTATTAGAGGTTTCCTGGTAACGGTTCCAACACTGTCTATTCCTTCGCCTCCCGGCTCCAATCCTCTTTTCACAGACTTCCCTTGCTTATAACATCTCTGCAGGGGTCACACAGAAAATACAGCTCTTCTAGTGTTGCGGAAACGTGTTTACCGAGGAGTTGCCCAGAAACGGCCCCGGCACGTCAGCCATCTCGCGGTTGTTGCATAGCAACATCTCTGCATACTACAATACATATGTTGCCCTGCAGCACGTAACACACCGTGTGATACCGTCTTTGTGATATGCGGATGTTTAAGCTATTAGTGACTTTTACTTGTTTTTTGTAATATGGTATAATGGGTCGCCTCTCGTGCTTTCCATATACGGGTATCGCCTTTAGATATGTTATATTTATAACCACAGTTCTCAGTGTACGTAAGTTAATTTAAATTGGAAATTAACTTAGTTTTCGTGTACAGTCAGTCAAGCGTAGATAACAACAAATTACATTCTCATGTTACTTATCATTGTGTTCGCTCTGAATGGAATCAAACTCCATATTAACTGATAAATAGGGTGTCCCAGGAGGAAAAGGAGGTCATAGTATCGGTCATTCTAAGCAAAGAAAAAAGTGAATATGTACATGTATCTTTTTACGAAATGTTTCCGAGATAGAATGATTTCACTGTATAGTAGTTAGGATTTGGCGCCCAATATTCTCCTTCCATCCCAAATGTGAATTGGTGTGAAACGTCAGTTGGCCGGTGTGACTGCTGATCGTAACATTGTACGAGTGTTGTGAAAAACGCCACACATCTTCACAAATGCCGATTATGCTGATATGCTGTATATTGTTTTCAAACGAGTTGTAAAGTACATTGATGTTGACAGTTGAATTTTAGAAAATGTATTATATTAGGAAGCCGGGATAGCGCAGTCGGTATAGCGATTGGCTACGGACTGGACCACGGAGAGGTCGGAGTTCGAGTCCCCGTAAAGTAAAGAACTTTCTCTTCTCCACATCATCCAGACCGGCTCTGAGGTCTACCCTACCTCGTACACAATGGGTACCGGGGGCAGAGCGACCGGGGCGTGAAGCTAACCACTCACCTCCAGCTAGTGCCGAGGTCAAGAAAATGTGGATCTATACGTCCATTTCCCATACGCCTTAATGGCGTAGTGCTTAATTAGCTAAACACAGGGACAACTTTTCTTTTTCCTTGGCACAACAGCCCCAGTGGGCCTAGGCCTACCTCCATGAACTTCTCCGTTCATTTCGGTTTTTCTAGATCTTACACATTCGGTAGGACTCCTTGGGCGGGTGATCAGCTCGTCGCAAGACCTCTATCTGTACACAAACACAGAAAAACGAACACACACAAACTAAACATCCATGCCCTGAGTGGGATTCGAACCCACGATCCAGGTTTCCAAGCGAGCGAAGACAGTACATGCCTTAGACCGCTCGGCTACCGTAACCGGCAGGGACAACTTTACCTTCACTATAATAGGTAAACTGTACCAACTTTGTCACTTGAACAACAAATACAGGTATTAGATATAGTACGAAATATTGTATCTCTCTTACCTACAAAGTTGGTACTGTACAGTGAAATAGCTCTATCTCGAAAACCGTTCGGAACAGGACACATGTATATAATCATATTTTTGCTTAGAATTACAGATACTATGACCTCCCAGAATATTGACCTTTCCTCGTGGGACACTATGTATGTGTATGTGTGTGTGTGTACAATATATATATATATTCGCCGTCAAATTCAACTAAAAATAGGTTCTATATGTTTATCTTCTAAATTCTTAATGCGATTGTTTGCCACCCAGCACGTTTCACGTTTTCAAGCACCATCAGGAATTTAGACTGTGACGTCCTCTAACCTAATTTACTAATTGTTTAGTTATAAAAAACTTACAGTGTAAACTCCTGTTGGTATCCAAACAAGATTGCTAAGTACGAGTATACAGGGTGTATATAACACACCCATTTTGTAGAAGCAATTATAAATGAAATACTTATTACTAGTATGAAATTATCCAGTATAACAGACATATATCAAATTAGAGTGAAACTATTTGCTGTTAGACTGTGGTAGTCAAATTCACCAGAAATCAAAGTTATATAAGCATAATGAATTAAAATAAAAACATTCTGCATAAAGGATTTAACTTTTACTCTTATTAAAAGTTAAATATATATGAATTGTTTCATATAGGGGCCTTTGTTTGGAAGTTGTACATTGTAATACAGCATCGCATTAGAACAGTAAAACAGGTCGGATCTGAACTCAGTACAGACGTTATTCGTTTTCCCTTTCTACCCGCCATTTTGTTATGGAGGCTGTGCTGACAGTTGAATGGGGAATTTCAATAACGTGCCCGTAATATTATTTTGTTTATTTATCTCAAAAATTGCAAGAATTAAGAAAAAGTTTTAACAGACATAAAATTTGCGCTTCATTTCTCTCTACAATGTTTGTTCCAAACATTTTTCTCTAGGACGAAGCCCACAGTAGACCTAAATGTGGCCTTGGTCAACACTAGTTTTCGTTAATACTGTACTACGGCATGTGGAACAGAGTCCAGCTTTACTCCCGTATGTAGAACCACAATAGGCATTTTGAATACTTCCTTAGACAATAGATATCATGGGCTGTAAGAAGCGAAGGTAAGTAATTTTGAAAGCATACTTACCACAGAAATCGGCATCAGGATTTTACGAAACAAACTATGCTTTCGAAAGACATGTTTCTGTATTTAAAGTTCTGACCATTCGGTACTTACTGAATATAAATATATAGTGGGCGCAGCTTATTGTTATCACACAACTTAATTGAAAACAAGCGAATGATAACAATACCCGATGAAATAAGAATGAAACTGTTTACTGTTGTTTATTGATTCAGAACGTAAATGTTTACTTCAAAAGGTGGAAGTGGGCAGAAAGAAAATTTTAAAATCAAGCGACATGAAATGCTTTAAGCTGACTGTCCATTATTTCTCCCAGGAAGTCATCAATAAGAATGAAACTATAGAAATATTTCTGGAAATCCAAATGCATCATTAAAAAGATATAAATATATTAAAATCGAGAATGAAGAACAATTTTTAAAGTTGACTGTCTATTGTCTTTTCTGAGAAGGTTGTTAACAGAACGTTCATTTTCATATGAGTGCTCAAGAAAAAAAAAACGGAATGTTACGCATAGCTTCCGCTGAACATTTGTCAAGGCAGCAATAAGGCAAAAACTTAAAAAAAAAAATAAAGCGATAGCAAAACCGAGACACTGACCACAATAACCGTATTTTTTTTCTATATATTAGTATATGTCTGAAAGGGACTTCATACAAGTGATAACATTACGCGAATGATAATGCTATCGACGATTATAATAGGAGACGTCTATTGTATTTTTAAAAATTGATCACTGAAATAAATGTTGCTTTGTTGCAATATACGTTATATGTATTCAAGAACACTCATAGCACACAAATTTATCATAAAGTAAGAGTCCATGCATTTTAATTTCAGAAATGGCCTATTTTTAGCTAATAAGTTTAACACCTATATTTCGCATTACACTGCATTCCTGCACACCATGTACCAGTTAAGAGGCGGTTAGTATGTCTACAAAATAAACCAATAAAATTATTTAAGTTGGATGTGAGTTTCTGAAAGAGGTGACAGTGAAGACTACTACCTTCTGGAATGTTGGTGGGAATTTACCGTCTTTTCGGAGAAAGAAAAAATTTGTTTTCTGCCAATGCTTTTGCTGGTTCTTTTTTTTAATTCGCTTAGTGGGGGGTGGAGTGTGACTTGGTCCACTCGGCACGGCGGCCACTGATTGGCCTATTGTATATGCCCCGGGTGATTATGATGATGGAGAATTTGGTGGAATGAAGATTGGCAGGGGAAACCGAAGTACTCGGAGAAAACTTGCCTCAGTGCCACTTTGTCCACCAAAAATACTACTTCACCAGACCCGGGATCGAAACCGGGCCGCCGCGGTGGGAAGCCAGCGACTAACCGCTTGAGCGATGGCGAGGCCGGCAGGATATGTAGCTTGAAGATGTGAAGCATCTACATAAAATTTAGTCGCAAAACATATTATAAATCACTACTTCGGAGATCTAGGTCAGGCATATCCCGGATGATAATATTACAATCAATTAGTGATTCACGTTAGGCTTAAGGTGGGTTATTTTTGAAGAGGTAATAAGTCCTCCGATTCGATGGAATTTCTTGACCACCAGAGCGACTATCAGCTTTTAAAAAAGAAAATTTTGTCATAGAATCAGATAGTTGGTCGATGAATTAAGATTCCTGGTTGCCGACAGAGAGGGCAAACTAGGAATCTACAAATTTCTTTATTAAAATCCGTCATAACACAACAAGAAAACAGTATTTTGCTACATGTTTCGGCTTTTTAAAAAGCCATCATCAGGCGAATACACAATTAACATGTTCTCAAGCTATTGAATCGCATACAATATAATTCAGTGCAAATACTGTTAAACATCAACTGTTTTGTTGTTGTGTTGTGACGGATTTTAATAAAGAAATTTATATCACAACAGGATGCATCCATTAAAATTTAGGAGTCTAGAGTTTTGGATTTTTGAAAAAGTCAAAATTGAAGACAAGGACGAAATATGCAAAATATTAAAATCACAAACTCTTTTTATAAATTAATAAAAGTAGTCTTATACGGCTTAACTACAAGTGTGTAAGCAAATTGTTTGGCTGTGCCATTTGGGGGACTGGTGGCCCGGATGCCGAGATCTCAGGGTCTGAGAAGAATATTTTTCTTGCGAGAATACGGCACTACAACGCATGTAGGAGGATCCTGAGCACGAGGAAGCGAGGGGATAGGTTTGTATTGATGTAGGTCTGTATAGCAAGAGGGGCCCCTCCTCAAGGTAGTTGTGGTGGCAATCGTGGTCACTCCGACGGTTAGTCGCACTGACGGCAAGCAACAAGCACTCGACAGG